AGTTGCGTTATAGTACACCCCACATCAGTCTTTATGGGAATTAATCTATGTTCTTTCACAATATATTCACACAATTTTAAAGATAGAATATAATATGTACAGTAATATATAGTTGTGTCTAACGTTATATTTTAACTGTAGGACTGTCAGAAACAGAGTTGATCCGTTAAAACGAACAAAATCCCTTTGTCGTTTAAAAAAATAATAAAAAAAACTCAACAATCGCATTAAATACGTTTTCATAATTAATACTGTAAAATATTTTATGTTTAGAATTGTTTTGAATGTTTAAGATATATTATTGTATTAACAATCGTACGGGTAAAAAGGATTTATTTTTAAGCGCTGGTACCTAATATTATATTCAAACGGCGACAAAAGCTCGTTAAGTACCGCCACACAATTGGATCCGGTCGGGTTAGGACGGTTTAACATTATATTATTCTATAAATAATTTTAAAAAATTTAAAAAAAAAATCAGTTTTGTTTCCACGTAAACTCTTTCTTGACGCAAAAAAGAAATGTAATTTTTTTTATACAAATTATTTTATAAAATATGATAATTTATATTAAATTATTTGTTTACAACTGTTTAAAGAACTGTTTGCCGACATGGTTATAGTGAATTTTCTGAGTACAGAACATATAATAATATAAAATGTATTTACTCAAATGTGGCTGTGCCCAAGGAAAATACTCCACTAGGATTAAGATCGAATGTTTAATTGATTTCAAAAAATTTGGACTTAACAAGTTAGTATACATTAGGAGTATTGTATAAGATAATATGCCATATGTGAATACGTTCTATATTACAGTACCGGTGTGCTATCTTTTAAACAGAAAATCATATTTAACTCCAGTTGGAAAAAACACTAATGTTATTTTGTAGTACTATAGTACTTTTACAGCAGAATATAATTTTAAGAATTCAATCTAAACCATCACGGACAAAATATATTTTAATAATATATCGTTAAAAAATAACAGTATTTCCCAGTATTTATGTCATACATTTGTAGTGCTCTATTGATTTTTATATCATGTTTTTGGCAGGAAATCAAGTATTAATAACACAAATGTTTTAATAGTTTTTCCTAATTGTTCATAAATTATTTTCATAACATTAGACAAATAAATGCAATATTTTCTACTTAAGCTCAATAAAACATTAAAAAATAGTATAAGTATTTACAAATGTTCTGCGTGGTAATGGTATGAACAATGAAATATAGTTAAGACATAATATTTTTTTGAAATTTAAAAATCAAGATTATGTTTATTATCTATAAATTAAGGTGTTCGTCGGTGTTTTAAACAACTTGTGTTGTTCTTTGTTATTTAATTTGAAACCGTAACTCTGAAGGTACATTCATTTTATACCCTACTTTTCATGGCCAACCCCAAGAGTACAATTATTTTAATTATTTTTTAAAATTAAAATTGGCTCTTGCTCAGTTAAAGATTAAATTATTTTATTTTAAAAACATAATGCTCGATTATAAAATCGGTTAATCAATCGATTGACCGTGATCACTTATTGCCGTTCCCTACGCCCAAAATATGGTTTTCACATATTTTGTGTATAATAATAACAATATTATTCTATTGATATTATACACGGTACAGAGTGTATTGTATCCTGTACGGTGTATTTAAATATACAACAGAAACGCTGTGCTGGCGCCACGGACGGCATCAAACGTCTCGTCTGACGGTCATAGCATAAGAATTTCGTTGTTTCGATAATACAGAGAGAAATGATTTAAAATTTAAATATATACACTTTTTAGTGAGCGCGTTTCTTCCAAGGGCTTCCAGATAGCGCATCAATTATGCGTAAAGTTTGTACAGGAAAACAACAATACACAGTGTACAATACATTGAAATCCGGCATAGCGTTATTAATTAGCAATTAATATTTATGAACTTGTTTCGTACAAATCACAATATAATATTATACATGCCGTTACGCGACAGGACACGGCAAAATGTTATTCTGTATTCTAAAACGATTTAAATACATAGGTACACCGTAAGCACAAAAACGGATTTAAATGCTAAAACAATACAATCTGAATTGAATAAAATACACGGATAACTACAATCACTCTTTTTTTTTTATGTTCGAAGTTAGCAAATGTGTTAAATTGTTTTTTTATTATCAAAATTTGTGTACACATGCAAATGGCGACAGTGCTAATAATATACTGTTGTGAACGCGTGTACGGTGGTTTTGCTCATAAAAACCATTTAATATAAAAAATTCATCATTTTTTTTTTGTTTGACATAAAATAGTTACAGTTTTAGTGACATAAAACCGCAAAAGTCAAGTAAATCTCTGAACGATCTTTAAAAAAAAACCCATATCTCTTTAGTCTGAGCGACAATTCTAAATTACTTGTTAGACAAGCTATTTGAACATATATATACTGAAGTTCTAACTTCTTCCAAAGACGTACTTAATACGTTATGGGGACGGAAATCAAGAAAATTTAATATTTTATTGCAAGAATAAACTGTCATAATATATTGTGTGTAATTATTATACCTCAAATATGATGTATTCAAGCTTTATTTACGTGGTTCTATAATATGGTGAAGGCACGATCAAAGTGAGAAGAGGGCAAACTATGCAGAACATTTTCCCACCACTCTCTTTTGAAAATTCCTGAATACGCCTCTGTAAATGTTTATATTTTATTTCTCATTCAAAGTTCAAACAGTCGATTCTAACTCCAACAGTGCGTCAAGAAGTGTTCTTTGAATTAAATTATAAACAAAAATGTACACGCAACATTTCACGAGAAAACCTTTTTTAAGGAAATAAACAATTGATTAAGTTGACACAGTGAATAAACGAATACAGTACAATATATATGTATATTATATTGCTAATAAAAAAGGCACGGCTTTATTATTCATAAAAAATAAAACAAATAATTATTTTACTTGTACTTTTTCCTATATTTATTTCCAAAAATATTTACATTTATTTACCCAATAAAGATAGAGACACTCGTGCAAATCATGGGTGGGATACTACAATAAGGATCAGTGAATACACATTTCCCAAAAGAAACTATAAATCTAATAGTCATTTAAAATTATCAATATAAAATGCATATAATAATTATTTACCCAATTTCGATTTTTTTAATATCATTATTTTATATATTATGGCGGTACTACTTCAACGGCTTAAATAGAGGTTGAAATATTGTTTTTTGTTAATGACAAAAGAATATGGTTTGTTCTCTCTTTAACGTTTTGCCTAAATTATTTTTAGAAGCCATATTTTAGATTTTACAAGTCCAAAGAAATTCCAATCATAACATGTAGTCAGGTGCCAATGTTTTAGTACACCTCTCAGTTACCGCAGACTAGGTAACAAATATTTTATTCAGACTATCCTAAAACACTTGAAATTATTTTTAGAAGACCTAACCTTCCTTCGGCTCTTCTTCCTATTATTTACCAGGCGTCAGTAATTATTAATTAATTAAAATTGGTGTTTTTTACATTTTTAAACAGAACTTGTATTGAGAACAATTTTTTCGGGAAAGTTTTTTTTTTTAATGTGTTTGCTGCAACTTTAAATCCCTCAATTTACACAATTTAAAGCGTGATAATTCCTCACACACACACACAACAATTATTCTCCCTTTGACGGTTTCGCGCACCCTCGAATTTTTTTCCGCTGTTTTAATTCGTTTCTAATTGATTTTGCATATATTATACTGTGCGCACGTGAATTTTTTTTTTATTTTTTATAATTGTTTCGCCGACCATTTTCCGACACGGCTAATAAGGTACGTGTTCGGCAAAAACTCAAGTACACCAAAGTGTCCCATAACCGGCGCGGCAGCTCTTGTACAGGTGAATTTTTCCATAATACAAACAACACAATAATAATAACGCAGGTTCGATATAACATTAAGAGTACAGGAGATAAAAAGGTCACGAGTTTTCCCTTAAACTTGTATCCATATAAGTGTAGAAAACATTTTAAATTCTATCAGTGGCGCAACTAGAGCTTAAGAACTGCAGAGTTTAACTCATTCGAAAAAAAACTTGTTGGGTCACCTATACTTCAAACACGAGGTAAAATATGTTTTTTATTTTTATACTTATTCGAGACTTAATTTTGAACATGTCGACCATGTATGCACAAATTAACTAGCAGATACTGCTTAATAATACCACTTTTGAAAATTAATCCTAGTTAAAATTTTTGCGAAATATTATATTACAACAACTATAAAATGTATTTTTGTTTTATTTATGAAGAATTATGTAAACGATTTTACAGATTTACAGTTCAACAAAGAGTTCAAATCAAATTAAGTTCTATATTTTGTTTTAATAATCTTCTGGTAAATTGAATTACCCATTCAAGGCTACCTGATTAGGTCTCTAGCTAGGATAACCATATTTGGGGCTGAGGTAATAATATTATTGTCGCAACATAATTCAATCACAACAGAGTTTTCAACGAATTTAAGGGAGAAACTATATTTTAAGCGTTCGGGGGTAATAAGGAACGTCTAACGTTACGCCACTGAACATTTATCAGAAACAGTATAGGTAATAATATTATATGGATAAAATACAAACAAATATTTTTTTAAGTCCAAGGATTTTATGGTTGATTTCGGCCATAATTTACAACTTTATTTTATAGGCTCATAATATGTGGCCAAACGCTTGATCAATTATATCCAAACAAATATTATTAGCGATTGAAAACGGCTATTTGAATATAATGTGTGTGTTTTTTTTTTCAATCAAATAACGCCCAACTCTTTGTACGGTATATTTCATAATTTAAGTGTGAAAATTGTAAATTTTGGCCGTCACCAATTATTCCGGACGTTTCCACTTTCAACAGGTCATAGTTCTTGTAAATTGACTCGTTCGTGGACAATACCATCGCCTGTACTCTTTCAACTCGTATCTCGCCTGTACGCATTTAAATTATTTTAGATTTTATTCAAACCCTTTTTAGCGAGCGCGTGTACGCTTTTGGGACGTGGTCGACCGTCAAGGGTAGCAGACCAGACGTCGTCGCCGTCGTCGCGTTGACATCACGCGTCTCATCACTGGGGCGTTATGACCGCACACAATATTATATATATAAATATATATGTGTGTGTAGATAGGTAGATGCCCCGGACGAACGAGGGTCAGAGGGAGGACGCGGGTCCCCCCAGTGCGAAACACACGAGCACGCGGCGGAGCCACCACACTCACATCGTAATTATAATTATTATATTAAGGGTTGTTTTTTTTTAAAAAATAATTTTTTTTTTACTTTTGTATTTAAAACACAACGTTATACGACGAACGCGCACACACGACCGGCACGCGAAACGACGGCGTACCGCGCCACACTGCGTTTGAACGGTTACTGAGTCGACCGACGACTGGCTGCGTCCCGTTTAGCCGGTGTCGTTGACGGCTGAGCCGCTATCATCCCGAAACTCGGTTCACCCGGGCGCTGTGTTAGTCCGGAGAGAAATTTTTTTTTTCAAAAAATATACATTTAAAATATATATATATATATATGTTTTTTTTGTTTTGTTTTACCAAAACGGCCGTGAAACAACAACGCTAACGACCTGGTCATTTCGTTTGTTCTTTACACACACACACAAAAACAATCATAACAGAGCAATTAAAATAATAATAACCGCATATTAACGTCCAAACGGACTAAACGGATTACGACCGGGCAGCAAACATTTACGCATCGGCTGGTAATTAACGCCCGTCGCCCCCTTACCACACAAAGGAGAGGAAGCCCGCAGCGAAACCCGGGTTCGCAATTCCTTTTTTTTTTTTTAGCGTATCCTGTACGAGTGAATAGTTGTCTGAAATGTATTAAAAAAAAAGAGTTTTTTAGTCTTTAACTTTGTTGATTTCAGATCTGTTCTCACGACGAATGTAGAATTATCCGCGTAAAATATCAGTAAAAGTCACATTAAGTTAAAATTTCATACTATGGCAACGGGAGACGTTCCGTTTGGTCGACCATCCATAGAAGATCGCTCAGCTGTATTGTACTCAGGTGTACTGCACAAACCGTACTGACCAAGTCAACATATTACTGGGTCTCAATATTGAGTACGTTTTTAAAGAAGAAAAAAATTGTAATAAGGTTGCATTTGCCGTAATCGTTTTTGCAGATAAGTCGACATTGATAACGGGTAATATTGTTTTATTTACACAAATGGAGAGGGTAATCTGTATGAAGTTAAACGAGGTGTACGGAGGGAAACCGAAAACCTCGCCGGCACGAGATCAGCGGACACCTGTTGACACTTACGCGAATTCCAAAAAAAAAAATAATCTACCGTGACCTTAACGGAATCGATAACCGAACACTTGGACTTAAACTCTCTCGATCATGGCCGACAGACAATTTAATTGGTTTTTCGACATTAGGTCCAATCGAATCGAACAAACAACATGCGCACAGTAAAATAGAAAAGCGGTTTGTTTTGCAAACGCGGCATGAAATAAAATATAATATTATTTCTTCGCTATAATATATACATGTACGCGGATTTTTTAATATAATAAAAAAAAATGAAAACTGAATTTCAAATTTGTTCGCATTGGTCGTGGACGCGAATAACCAATACTATGTTTCATAAGGTGATACTTTCATTTCTATTTTTTTTTTTTACTTAAATACATCAATAATGTAACGCACTCGATTGACAATATTATAAATTATAAGAAAGTTTGTGCAATATAACAGCCTGTATAGGTGTAACAATTATTTCAGAAGGCAATTAGTAACAAACTCTCTTCATACTACTTGTGCACAACTAGGGTAATTAGGAGGAAACGCTGAATTACCTACACCGGAGACACACTATACAAGTTATGTTCCCGCCAAAAGCTCAAGGCTGAATACAGTACACCTTATTGGAAGTAAGTGGTAAATCGAATACAATTTAGTTTCTCCGTCGATACATTGTTAATATGTAAGCATTTAAGACAAATAATTTACATGAACAGTTATTAACAATAACGACAATATTATTACTTAAGACGAATTAGCGAATACTGACAATTATGAAAATCAAAAACTGAGACTTTTACAAGCACCTTTAGCTAGCTTCAGTTGTACTTTTGGGTACTTTGTAATTTATTTATAAAATACACGTGTTTTCCTTTAACCCCGAAAACAAGATATTATATTTGCATTTTTGTTATATTGGTCGAATCGTTTTTCAAGTAATTTGATTTTTCGGGCCAGTTGAATTATGCTTTTAAAATTTAAGCAATCCAAACCAAATATCACTAGGCATACTTTATACTCAACGGTACTTCCCCAGGAACCGTACTATCACAGCTCACTACAACAACACTGCTACGGATTTTTATATTTAAAAAATATTTATGAAAATAATGTCTTTCGTTGCGACGCGTTACATTAAAATAATTCGATTTCAATACTAGAAAACTAGATTTAACGCGAGCGGTTGCTGCGCAGTGAAGTCTTGTCACCTGTCAATCTTTACTGTGGACAAAGGCATAATATTGTGTACTAATACAACAGCCAATCTAGGTCATCCGAGCTAGAGCGCATTAAAAAAAAAAAACGATAAAACCGTATTATCCAAAACGGCTAATGATCCCTCCTATCGAGCGACGCATTTTATTTTTGTATTAGTATATTCTAATGTGTTTGAAGTCACTAGACCTGTAGATATTAACATAGTACAAAGTCAATTAATCTGGTCATTACACAATATAATAGGCATGATACTACTATAGTATTACTAATATAGGCTACAAATAAATGTAATGTAGGACAACTGATCCGAATTAGATACAAATTAATAATACTCACCGGTGTCTGGAAGTTAAGTAATGGGTATTATACATAAATAATTTAGTATGTAATCATGTTCCCTAATATCCATTTTATAACAACCATTTTACGACACCAGACCCAAACTCCTATTTAACATTTTAATACCACTTGTGTATGCAGCCTAACTTTGACGTTATCTTGAACGGTAATTTCATTTGCAGGGATTATACTTATTATTCAACGGACATTAAAAAAAATATTTAACATAATAAACTCCACTGTTTTGTTTAATTAAACCTTTTTTAACTTATACATAATATATACATTTGTATAAATTTAATTTAATTGAAGTGTTATGGATTTTTGAAGAAAATAATTTAGGAAAAACTATTAACACATGTGCGTTTTTAATGTCGGATTTCCTGCAAAAATATTATGTGTAAAACTTTTTACAATTATTTGTAAAAATATATTCTCAATAAAAATGTATTAAATTGGCTGAATAAGAAATTCAGATGTGTTATCAAATGTCATAATTTTAACTTCTATTTTGGTTTATAAAGAAATAACTTGTATTAATTACACCTTGCTAATATTAAAATAGTTAAAATACAAGTATTTTGAATTTACCAAGCTAAAAATTGTAAGTTAACAATATTCAAGTAACTTGTAAATTGGAAGTTCAACCATACTAATATATTTATAGACAAATTAAATTAAAAAGTAAACGCTTTTCACTTGTACGTTATACATGTGTATAATACCAATAGAAATGTTTATAAGAAGAGTATTTTTAACACAGGCAAACGCATGCCGAATCAACCAAAAAAATTGATTTATTCACGAGTCAAAACGATAAATGGTATACAAATAATGGAATATATAATAATAATAATAATAATAATAAAGGCGAAAATAATATTTCGGATGAATCGTTTCAATTAACTACATAGATATAAAATAGAAATTAATTTTTCATTCAACAGCCAACATAATTTTATGAACGATGCATATTATTATTCATTCATTGGCAAACCGACAATAAGGTATAATAATAAATTGTTTCACTGAGTAAAAAAAAGCCACAACTACTTTGTACTTTTCAATGGAATTTCGCAACCTTAGTTCACCGACAAAATAATCAAAAATAAAATGGTACTAGTGTTAAAAATATATATTTTAATAGATGGTCCATTATGGAACAATAGCAAAGAACATCTAAGTATCACTGAATAATCATAATGTATATTAATGTATTATAGTACTGATAGGTATGTGTTTGAAAAAACAAACTCGTGGGAAACTTTAACAACATTGGAAGTTATACTACTTTTTTTAATAATTTCAAAAACAATTGTATTAAACATTTCTAGACAGTGATCTTAACACAGTTCCCAAAGAGACATTACTTCGTTGAAAGAAACAATCTTTATTAAAAGCGGACTGCCCGACGGTCGGGTTGCCTACATGACACAGTATAAACATTAAGACATATTTGTTAGACTACTCAAAATATAGAATACATAAACAATAAAAATAAATCACATAATATACAATATAAAATACAATAATAAAATAATATAATTTAAAACGCGGTATTCTAGTTTAATATAGTAATAAAATAGTGATTTGTAAAATTAAATTAAATATTAGGAATATAAGTGTTTATGAATAATGTGAAGAGTGTCACGCATGAAAATTGCATAATCACACGATAAGTGTCACACGTTTCATAGTATATTATAATTTATAATTTAATCGAATTGAGGTGTGCTAAATTAAATGTTTAATCAAATAAATAAATAAAAATAAATTATACTAATAAAAAAAAGTCGATTAAGAGAATGAATTGATTGTTTTACCAAACGCTTAAATTTTGCGCTAATGCGGTTACACCCTTAAACACAGATAATATTCTCCTCTTTTTTTTTTATACAAAAATTTGGTGATTCTAGTACTAATGATCACAGCCTGGGTAGCGTCCTCTAATGTCGGTCTATTGTACGTATGCATTATATTCTTTTCTTAGTACTCAACTTTAATTATTCCATAGACAAAGCAAAAATACTCGATGCAACTTATTTTCATACAGTTATGAATTATGTATTTGTAATATGTTTTCCGGAAAATGCGATAATTATGTATTCAAGCGATATTTTATTCATGAAAAATTATAATAATTGGACTAGCAATGAGGTCATACAGAAAATAATTCCTATACCATTTTTTTAGAACTAAATGTACATTATGATAGGTCAAGATGTGGTGGATGAAATACATGTAAGTCCTACTGTTTTTAAAAATTTACAATATGTTTTATTAATATCACATATTATTATACTTAGAAGTTTTGCTCTGTTGAATTGTTTAATAATAACACGCGTTCATCAAGTATTTGATGTGGGTAATAATTTTCGGTAGCCTTTAGTGGAAATTTAACAGTATAATGGTCTTAAGTACGTTATGCTGTGATAAACATTTACCAAAAACACTGGGTAAGGTCACATTTAACAGTATGTCACCCTTAGGAAGCGGTACATAACATATA